AATCATTACAATGTAATTGAAGTTTTCATTACATATATGTTATTAATATTTTCATTACAGTGTTATGAACGAATGTAATGAAAATTTTAATGACAAAAACGTTATGAAAATGATGAAAGCTGACGCAAAGTACGCAACTTTTCGTTTCGAATTGACATAGGTTAGGGTGGATTCACAACGACGCTGACCGCAGAGAAGAGGTAAAAATTGAGTGACCGAGGTCGACTCACGTCTGAGGCACTTCACTTGCCTGAATAAGGGAGATCGGGTGCTGGCCCTACCAAACGGCAGCCCGTAGACGCCATCGAGCAACATCAGAAAAACCTATTTTGTCACTTTAAATATCGCTCTTTTCCGCCAAACACTTCGCCATTAGTTTAACAATACAGCACTTCACATGGAACACAACCAAATTTTAGAATATCTTCTCACGTTTTAATATTTTAATACAAAATACAGAGTTGAGAGAGATCCCCGTATACCAAGCGACACCTAGCGGCAGACTTGCGAATGACAGGTTTGGCATATGACGCCGTAATGGACGATTAACGAGAAAAAAATGATGTTGGCGGTCAATAGAAGGCTAAATTAGTTTGAGTATGCTTAACTTAGATCCTGGACAAATCCAAAAAATTTCAGTCATGCTTAAATATTTTTGAAAAATTTAATGACATGTAATGAAAGTTTCATGACAAGCTGCATACTGTAATGAAACTTTCATTACATGGCTAATGCCATTAAATTTTATGACTGAGGTAATGAAATTTTCATTACAATGTAATGAATGTGGAGATGTAATTAAAAATAATGACGATTAATGAAAAATAATGTCACAAATGTCATTAAATTTCATTCATTTTTAACAGTGTTCTGGCCCACTGTGCGCCTCCAAGCCCCCGGCAGCGCCGGCAGCGCCGAGCCGTACCCCTGGGAGGCCCGCAGCCCGCAAGGCCCCGAGATCTGCACCGGCCGGCCGCGAGTAAATCTCCCTTCCGGCGTTCGGGGCGCTGGCCGCCTCGCTGCCCGCCCATTTGTACCGGCAATGACCTTTTTAACCTACATTCGGGCGCGGGTTGTAAATCGGAGAAGTGCATCGTACATACGGCCTGGGCCGCACCCCGCATCCCTGCTCCTCAGGGGTCCTTTTATGTTTCTCCTGTCCGCTCGGACGTTCCGGACACCGGCCGACGTTCCCACGACACCCTCACACCCTGGCGAAAACACACATTTACACACACACACACACACACTGCGGCGAAAGGATAAATAATTTATGAAATCGCGTAGTGTTTTCTCGAGTCGGAGTGAATCCCCCTCTCACGCTTTTCCTCGGCTCCGCCTGTTGGCCGGGTGATAAATTTAGAGCGCGCGCTCGCCTCCAATGATGACAGCTTTAAGGAAGTGGATCAGCCGCGCTAACAATCCCAAAACGCAGCCTATTCGCATTCAGGGGTGGGGAGCGGTGTCGTAGCCTGGCTGAAGCTAAAGCGTGACATGGGACTTGTGGCTCATTTTCAAGAAACACAGCTCGTACGCACTTTATGCAGGCGCGGATCCAGGGGGGGGGGGGGGGGGGGGGGGGGCTGAAGGCGGCGAAGACGCCTGAAAGGTAGGGAAAAAGTCGCACATTACCCCTGCAGGTAGGCAACTTACGCGACATCCCCCCCCCCCAAAAAAAAAAAAAACCTGAACCCGTCTCTGGATCCGCCCTTGACTTTATGTCTCTGTCCAATTTTTCTTTGGAATCTGCAAACAATGTCCTGCAGTATCAAAAGAATAAGTAACTAGTCAGTGACGACTTTACTGCAAACGTGACTTCGTTCGTGCCATCCAGGGCATGAATATAGTGTCGCGCTAAAGAATGGCATGACTGAAAAGTTATTTCAAAAAATCCGCGTGGCTTCTGAGATTTTTGGAATTACTTTTCCCAGGAAGCGCCAAATCCACACTGTAAAAAAAATTCTGAAATTTCAGTACAATTTGTTCAGACTTTGCAGTCTGAATCGGTAATTCAGAAAGTTGCTTTGAATTTTCAGACTAGAAACTCTGAAGTTTGAGATCACACCGGTTAGTCTGAATTTTAAGCAGAAGGTCTGAAAATTCTGATAAAGTTTTCAGACTTGTCATCCTGAAACCTGTTTTCATAATTTTGGTATGAAAATTTTGACAGATTGTCTACTAATCAAGTCTAGGCGTAAGGCGTTGTATAAATTTATCGGAAATAATAATGTACACCCGTGCTTCACGCAGATTCGTCTGTGTACGATAGATTAACCGTAAGAGTTGTCCGAACTTGCATTCTGGACTTGCCGAAAGGAGCTGGTATCCTCTGAAGAGAGTGACGCGGCACGGCTTCCCCGGCCGCCAGGCAGCGCTCGTAGCGCAGTGGTACTGAGCTCGTCTCGTAACCAAAAAGTCCCGGTTCGAACCCGGGCCGAAGCGAACAAATGAAAAGTGGAAAGGAGGTACCGTCAGACGTTGGTGGTTCATATTGTTCTCTTGTTGATTTCTTTCTCTTTGATTTATAGATGGCACTTTTATTTAATATTTCAGAGTAGCAGTCTGAAAATATTTTTCAGACAAGTAGTCTGAATTTGGAATTCAGACAGAATGGTCTGAATAATTACTCTGAATTTTCAGACCACTAGTCTGTTTAAAAACTTCAGACTAAAATTATGAAATTTCAGTAATACTTTTTTTACAGTGCACATGGAGCATTGACGCCAGATATGGGCGTGCCTGACTCACCATTTCATTGGCGTGACTTTCCTGTCAAGCCAGTTTTTGGCGCACCTTTCTCCATGCCATAATTGGGCCACGTGTCGGGCCATTCAATGCTCAGTGTTTGTCGCGAACTGGTAACAAATTTTAACATCAGATCTGGTATTGCTTCCAATCACAAACAAAACTCGTCCATAGACATATATTAGTGTTGTTACAGTCTCTTTGAATCACGCTCAAGCTTTCCGAACCTTCCTTACCAAGCTCCAGAGTCGCTTAATGGGACTCTAACTGAACGCGTGACCACATCCCATAGATTGCTCTCCGAACGGGGAATCCATTGATGGGGTCACACGTTCAGTTCAAGTCCTGATTCCTGGATCTCAAACCGCGTCTGGATTTTCTGGCCGCCTCCTCGTTCTTCTGGCGCAGGACACAGGGGCCAGGACGGGACGGAAGAGGGGAAAAAGATGAGGCGTGAGGCGAGGCGGCACCGCGCCGGCTGAGGGGCCACCGAGGCCACCGAGGGCGAGGGGGCAGAGGGCTCAGGTTGTAAGCCCCGTTTGTACCTTTCGCAGGCAGAGGGATCAGTGTGTGGCACACTGTGTGGGCGAGGCGGCCGCGCGGCGCGCAGCGAAAGCGTCCACCGAGTGGCCCTGGATTACATTTGCATTCCGCAATAATGGTCCAAGGCATAACGGCGGCGGGGCCAGGCCTTGGGCCAGCCCGCCGCCGGGACACGCCGGGGGGAGGCGGAAACAATTGGAAACACAAATACAATATGCACCGTTCATCGGCAACTGCGGAAAATCCCCGATGGAACTCCATTCGCGTGCAGCGCCGCCGGGGACCAGTGTGGATCATCGGCGGGGTGCCAGTGGAGACTCACTTTTTGAACGTGTTTGCAAGTAATTGGATCCTCTCAGCCTCTGTAGCCTACACATTTCGACGCCTCCCAATAGGATAATCCTAACTGCCAGAGTAGTAGATCCAAGAAAATCGAAGGACATATCGGAGACCCTTCAGCGGCCGTTTGGCATAGGGGGTAAGTAGCATTGAAAATAGGTTTGTCCGATGACCACTTAACTGTCATTGTCGATTTAAAACTATTCTCGCTGCAGAGGGACCAACAAGTGTTCACAAACTACCTTGACTCACTGCAAATCAGAGAATTGCAATTTCTCTGAAATACAATGCTCACGTATTTCTGAGGATGAAACTTTTTTGGCAAGTAATGTTATGAATAGTGCGGGTGTCACGGACTTAGAGAAAGGGGCACGTTTTACGTCATGTGCAGTTGGGATAGTTCTGAATCGACACGGACAGGATTGTCTTATATACTGTGGTAGTCAGGATAAATGGAGGCGTCGATTTTATGAGTTGACATTTGAGGCATTAATAGGATTTCGCTTGTAAGTGCATGAATGTAAGCAAGATATTGATTATGTATGTAGTTACTGACAAAAAGCAATTCGTTTATAATCCTAGTAATGCACCCAAGCGTCAATACGTTTCTGAAGAAAATCGCAACTAGCAAAAGAGTGTATCTCATCAAATAGGCACAAAAAGCCAGAAATTTGTTTTCATATTGCTGAGGATTTTCTCTTTAACCTAAACGTGCTGACGCAACGTGTAATACTTTCAGCTTTCAGGAGCCAAAAACGGGCGGTGGGAGGGGGTGTCATTTTATCCCCCCTGGATCCACGCCTGCTCAACCCTCCCAGAGTCTCCATGCAGGTGCAACGACTGCTGTGGAAGTGAGGTAGATGAATTAGCGGTTAGCGTTTGGCTGGTTTCGGCAGGGTTGGCCATCCCTTTCATACCGGCTTGGAGAGAGAGAGAGAGAGAGAGAGAGAGAGAGAGAGAGAGAGAGAGAGAGAGAGAGAGAGAGAGAGAGAGAGAGAGAGACTACGTCGTGGGGATGCACGCTTGGCCGCGGTGCCGCGCCCCGGGGGACCAATAAGGAACGAGCCGCCGCGCCGCCAGAGCGCGTCGACTGCCAGACGGAAAGGGAGCGCGAGGAAGCCGGGCAGGCGGGTCGAGCAAGGCGCGACTTCGGCGAGGGCTGGCCATAGTGGACCATGAGGATCGGCTTCGAGGCCATAAAAACGGGCTTGCCCACGAGACAAACTACGGAAGACCGCCTCAAAGAGAGGCCTCAAATTGGTCCGTCAAAATTTTGATGCATATTATAAGTTTTTTTTATTTTAACCTTACAGCATTGTACAGCATTTAAGACAAGGTAGTCTACGAATTTCAATTACAAAAATGGCGCAGAGGATCTGAAAATAATACACATAGGACCATCTTTTCACGATTGGTTTGAATAAAGAAACATTGCTGTTGGGACGAGCTTAAAATACAAAGTCTTGAGTGTAACTCCAATAAGTTTGCACGGTTACACTCAAATCCACAAAACCATTAAATTACATTCAGAACGAACAGTTTGGATCAAACATTATTACTATGGGAAAACTTACGTCAAACAGAATTCGAATAAGTTTAAGCTCAAAGCGAGAACAAAATTACCTGAACCGACCTCCTTACATTCTCATCATGGACAAAATAATATGATCTGGAATGGCACCAGTTCACAATCTTCTTCTAGCAAGAGAAACAATCATAACTCATTGGGCCTTCAGAGTAAGCCCAAAAAGAGCCCATTAAATGTTGCTATCTGAGATTAACTTTTCGTTTCACACTGTACACTCGATCGGCGCCTCTTCTGTATGGGTTCGAAGGTGCTTTCTAAGGCCATGACCGTCGCTGAACTTCTTTTTGCAAACTGTACACTCGAAAGGCTTCTCCCCCATGTGGATCCGAAGGTGCCTCCTGAGGTCACCCCCACGGCTGAAATTCTTGTTACAAAGTGAGCACTCAAAAGATTTCTCACCTGTATGTGTTATAAGGTGCGTCTTGAGATCACCCTCTTGGCGAAAAGTCCTGTTACAAACTGCACTCAAAAGGTTTCTCTCCTGTATGGGTCCGAAGGTGAGTCCTGAGGTTACATTCAACGCTAAAAGTCTCGTTGCAAACTGCGCACTCAAAAGGTTTCTCTCCCGTATGGGTCCGAAGGTGAGTCCTGAGGTTATATTCAACGCTAAAAGTCTTGTTGCAAACTGCGCACTCAAAAGGTTTCTCCCCTGTATGGGTCCGAAGGTGAGTCCTGAGGTTACATTCAACGCTAAAAGTCTTGTTGCAAACTGTGCACTCAAACGGTTTCTCCCCTGTATGGGTCCAAAGGTGCCTCCTGAGTTTACCCCCTTCGCTGAAAGTTCTGTTACAAACTGAGCACTCAAAAGGCTTCTCCCCTGTATGGGTCCGAAGGTGAGCGCTGACGTGATCCTTCCGGCTAAAAGTCTTCTTGCAAACAGCGCCTTCGAAAGGATTCTCCCCTGAATGGGTCCGAAGGTGACTCCTGAGTACACTCTTTTGGCTGAAAGTCTTGTTGCAAACTGCGCACTCAAAAGGTTTCTCCCCTTTATGCATCCGAATGTGATTTTTGAGGTCACGGTCCCTGGTGTACTTCTTGTTGCATACTGGGCACTCCAACAGCCTCTCCCCTGCATGAGTCCGAAGAAGCGCGTTAAGATTGTCACGTTGGCTGTAAGTATTGTTGCAAACTGAATACTCGAAAGGTTTCTTACCCGTTTGAGTCAAAAGGAAGCTTTTAAGGGAGCTTCTTGACGAAGTGCCGAATGAGAAGGCTCACCCCCTTTGAGGGGCAGGTTGGCAATCCCAACCGTCGCCACCTTCATGGGGATGAGCTGATGAAGACTCGCTGCTTTGAATCAAGTCTGGTCGATTGGAACTCATTGTAGGTTTCCCCCTTCGGCGAGCTGCAACAGAGGCACATTTTTCATACATAAACAGAGTTACAATTTACACCAATTTAAGGTCTAGACTGGCTTCGCATTTAAATTTTTCCTGTTTTTTCCTTGATTTGAGGAGGGATCCTTAATTTACCACTAAAGGGCATCATAACGTTACTGTGAGCGTTTAAGTTCTAACCGTAACTTTACTTCTTCTAAAGAAAAAAGGTTATTTTCCAGCTCCACGCATAAGTGTTTGGAAGAACTTCCAACAGTCCGTACCTTTAACCTTCAGCTAAGACTGTCTTGTGTTGCGTTGTTAAAGCCATGCAAGTTAAATGATATAATAAGTTAAGAATCCTTGCATTCAAGAAGGAAAATTCCCTTTTTTCTACACTTTATCCTCAAACACCGCTTAGTCTCACAGCACCCTACGTGCACAATAAATGCCACTGAAAATGTGTCGGCGTGACTTCGAGACGTTTTCAGGGCATGAACAAGGTAGGTTTACGCCAGACCGCGTCTTGTCGTAACAGGCTTCGCGATGTCTCGCGGCCTGTTCCTCCAATCCGCGCCTGGCGTACCTGCCTTGGCCTGCGGCGCTAGCCTGCCTTCGGCAGGCATTGGCTTGTCCATCGTCGGTTACTCTTTATGTGTTGCATCCTGGGGGGCTCCGCCCCCCAGACCCCCCTCAATTCTAGGTGGAGTTGCTTCATCTACAGATAACACGATCTTGACCCTTGTATTTTTTCAACTTGTCGGGGCTGGGGGGCGGACTCCCCTTTCTTCAAGACAGAGGTGATCTACCTGCAGAAAACTCGATTTTTCGCCGTTTTTTAGGTGTTTTTCGGCTATAAAAACTGAACCAGTTGAGCTAGGATAGTGAGATTCCGCGTGTGCCGAGCCAAGAACATACCTAATAAGCCTGCAAAATCTCTGCCAGATCGGCCGAGCCGTTCAGGAGGAGTAGTGTACACACACACACACACACAGACAGACAGACAGACAGACAAAACTTTTCAACCGCACTGGAGTAACGGGCTTCGCTATCGCTCAGCCAATAAAGTGCCACGCCAAAAAATGACATGACAGGCAAGTCATTCCGGATTGACGCTTTTCTGCATGACTTTTCCCAAGGAAAGCCTTGAGACTAATCCTAAGAAAAGCCTTGAAAGCCCCGATCAACAAGGCTCATTCCCGCCATATAACGGCGTGGCGCACTTGTCGGGCTACACTCTACAAAAAATGTCCTGTCAACGCCGTTAATTTATTACCAATGTTTGCTGTTATGCAATTCACGGCGTTTGCTGTGAACTAGTTCACGGCATTCACTGTGATCTCGGTTACAGTGTTCACTGCGATCTGGCCACAGTAAACGCCGTGAATTGGAGCCTGATTTGCAGTACTTCGGTGCTCAGCGGCGTCAAACTCACAGTGTTTACTGGGGACCAGATCACAGTGAACACTGTAACCGATATCACAGTGAATGCCGTGAACTAGTTCACAGCAAACGCTGTGAATTGACCTACAGTGAAAACTGGTAATAAATTAACGGCATTTACCGGACATTTTTGGTAGAGTGTATAGTTTGGCCGTAAGACCGATCAATTTTTAGTGCCTTAACTAATTCAAGGACTGTGACGTCGCATTTGCTGCAATGCGAATTTCGTCACGTTCATTTGGATACGATGTTACATTCGTTCAAAAGTGTAACGGCCGTTTCATTAGAATGTCACTCCTTTGAGCGTGGCCCAGCATTCAAACGAATGTGACATATGATTCAGGATAACATGACAAAATTCAAATTCTGACGAATATGATCTCACATTCGTTAGAATGAGTGTTTTCTCCTGACTTCGATCTATCCTGACTTCTGCATGATATTTAGTCCCCTTGTATTTACCCAGACTTCAGAGGCCGGTAAAAGCCCAGAAACTCAATTTTTTTTGGACTGAACTTAAGAAATTGTCTACATACACTGCGAGAAAAAAGTAAAGAAAGAATACGGAACATTCACTGTCAGAAAAAAAGTCCGTAAATTTACGGAGAAAGTTACTCTAATTTTGGGAATGGACGCTCCGTAAATTTTCCATATTTTTACGGAGATTTTCCATATTTTTACGGAGATTTTCCGTATTTTTACGGAGATTTTCCGTATTTTTACGGAGATGAACTGCATTTTAGCAGAAATAAACGCATTATAACGGTTTACTTCCCTCCTTCCACCTTCGATGTTAATGCAAACAGTGTCCTTTTAGACGAAAGTGATATTCTCCAAAACTGTTTGAGAATCCACTTGACCACATGCCATGAGGATCGAGTCTATGTCATTTCTCCTACCTAAATGTTCGCCTACCTGTCTATTTCGCCTACCTATATTTCGCCTACCTAATAAAAATATTGAATAAAAAATATTCAATTAATATTGCCATTTTTCGCCTACCTATAGTTCGCCTACCTAATAAAAAAATTAAATAAAAATATTCAACAAAAAAACGAAAAAATCGGCGGGAAAAAGTGGCAATACGAAAGTCTCAAGGAGACCCGCCGATCAGCTTCGGTGTTCTTACGGGAACCGGGCCTTCATCCAACGCTCCCTGCCGCGCAATTCGACAGATTAGTGGGTTCGTATTGGGCTGGCCCACCCGAAGTGCGCGCGGTTTCTGTGGTACAGTGAGAGTCCAGATTCAGAGGCCTTACCTCAGAGGGGTCACATTGGGTATTTGAACCCGCGACCCCGAGTGCCGAGTCTAGTCAACTCCTCTACCCTGACCGCTCAGCCACCGAACCAGCTTGTCGGCGGCGATGTCGCAACTCCTCTTGAGCTGCCGTTCGAGAAATCTGGTCCCGAAAAAATGGTAATTTGAGCGGTCTCGAACCCGGGACCTGCTGCTTCTCACATCATGCTCTTAACCACTGAGCCACCGGGACGCCATGGCACCCGCCCTGCCTGCGCTGGTACTCAATCCTCTCTAGATATACCTCCCCAAGCAATTGGTCGCCGAAAAAATTGTGTATACTACCGGTCCCGAACCCGGGCCTGCTGCTTCCCGCATCATGCTCTTAGCCACTGAGCCACCGGGGCGCTATAGCACCCGCCCTGCCTGCGCTGGTACTCAATCTTCTCTGGATATACCTCCCCAAGCAATTGGTCGCCGAAAAAATTGTGTATACTACCGGTCCCGAACCCGGGACCTGCCGCTTCCCACATCATGCTCTTAACCACTGAGCCACCGGGACGCCATGGCACCCACCCTGCCTGCGCTGCTACTCAATCTTCTCTGGATATACCTCCCCAAGCAATTGGTCGGCGAAAAAATTATGTATATTACCGGTCCCGAACCCGGGACCTGCCGCTTCCCACATCATGCTCTTAACCACTGGGCCACCGGGACGCCATGGCACCCGCCTTGCCAGCGCCGGTACCCAATCTTCTCTGGATATACCTCCCCAAGCAATTGGTCGCCGAAAAAATTGTATGTATTACCGGTCCCGAACCAGGGACCTGCCGCTTCCCACATCGTGCTCTTAACCACTGAGCTACCGGAGGATCATGGTACCCGCACTGCCAGCGCTGGTACTCAATCCTCTCCGGATAGACCTCGTCAAGAAGTCGGTTGCCTCTGCCGAAAAATATGGTCATGGTACTAGTCTCGAACCCGAGACCTGCCAGTCTCGAACGCAGCACTGTAACCACGGCGCTACCAGTATGCTACGCACCGCGCTCACCCCATAGCCGAAGTTATTATTTGTCCAGCATCAAGCAAGATGGGTGGCGATTGAAGTTTGGCGCTAGGTTCGCGGCGTGCATAGCAACCTGGTAGCACCGTGGTTACAGTGCTGCGTTCGAGACTGGCAGGTCTCGGGTTCGAGATTAGTACCATGACCATATTTTTCGGCAGAGGCAACCGACTTCTTGACGAGGTCTATCCGGAGAGGATTGAGTACCAGCGCTGGCAATGCGGGTACCGTGATCATCCGGTAGCTCAGTGTTTAAGAGCACGATGTGGGAAGCGGCAGGTCCCGGGTTCGGGACCGGTAATACATACAATTTTTTCAGCGACCAATTGCTTGGGGAGGTTTATCCAGAGAAGATTGGGTACCGGCGCTGGCAAGCGGGTGCCATGGCGTCCCGGTGGCTCAGTGGTTAAGAGCATGATGTGGGAAGCGGCAGGTCCCGGGTTCGGGACCGGTAATATACATAATTTTTTCGGCGACCAATTGCTTGGGGAGGTATATCCAGAGAAGATTGAGTACCAGCGCAGGCAGGGCGGGTGCCATGGCGTCCCGGTGGCTCAGTGGTTAAGAGCATGATGTGAGAAGCAGCAGGTCCCGGGTTCGAGACCGCTCAAATTACCATTTTTTCGGGACCAGATTTCTCGAACGGCAGCTCAAGAGGAGTTGCGACATCGCCGCCGACAAGCTGGTTCGGTGGCTGAGCGGTCAGGGTAGAGGAGTTGACTAGACTCGGCACTCGGGGTCGCGGGTTCAAATACCCAATGTGACCCCTCTGAGGTAAGGCCTCTGAATCTGGACTCTCACTGTACCACAGAAACCGCGCGCACTTCGGGTGGGCCAGCCCAATACGAACCCACTAATCTGTCGAATTGCGCGGCAGGGAGCGTCGGATGAAGGCCCGGTTCCCATAAGAACACCGAAGCTGATCGGCGGGTCTCCTTGAGACTTTCGTATTGCCACCTTTTGCCGTCGATTTTTTCGTTTTTTTGTTGAATATTTTTATTTAATTTTTTCATCAGGTAGGCGAACTATAGGTAGGCTAAAAATGGCAATATTAATTGAATATTTTTTATTCAATATATTTATTAGGTAGGCGAAATATAGGTAGGCGAAATACAGGTAGGCGAAATAGACAGGTAGGCGGACATTTAGGTAGGAGAAATGAACAACTCCCTTAGGATCGGATAAATGGACGGAAACCCAAAGGCGAGGTCGCTTTAGGGAAGGCGCACTCTTGGAACACCAAATCAGTTGTTCACCCAACCCATCGATAACGTGAATTAGTCTGTTCTTTTTGATAAGTAAGGCTTCTATTTCATTTATATACATAACTTCCAAATTTTTACGGAGAAAATCCATAATTCAAAAAAACGGAGATCTCCGTTTAAAAAAATGGACAGTCTCCGTTAAATTTCCGTATTTTTACGGAGTTTCCTGGAAGTGTTTCCCGTTAATAATTTGCCTGGGCTGTCCATAACTGTACATACCTGTACACCTACATATACGGAACTTCTTTACTATCCATACCCGATTACATGAGTTCTTTAAGGACAAGTGCGAACGTTCCGTACTTTTTTCCGTACTTCCGTCTGTACATTTTCCGTACAAAAACGGATTTTTTTTTACAGTGAGGAAAGGCTGCTCACTTTTCGAAACTTTAGTAAACGTGACATTGCTAAATTGTAATCCACGTGACAGTTGCGTTTGGAATTTCAAAAATTGTTTAGAGACGAATAACAAATCGAAGAGCTCTTGTCCAGGAAAAGGCATGCTGACACGAAATGTCGTCGCTCTAGCTCAAAAGTCTAGCAGGCTAGCTTTCAGAAGAAGAAATTTGGCTTACATATACACTGGCAGTCAGGAAATTGTAGAATTCCTATGGGGAACTGCGACCAACGATTACGTGTTGTTCTGTGAACAAAAGAAAAAATATTTTGAGTGCACTTCATACTTTGTATGAACGTGACACGGCCCTTTAAAAAGGATTTAACATTCGTTTGAACAAGGATCAACAATTAAACTGGTGTGACATCCAATTTGACGAACGTGACAACATTAACATTCTAACGAATATTACGTCATATCAACGAAAAGGCACACGAAAAGGGCGTACTTGTCAAGCATGCTCCTGCTCCTGGTTCAGAATGACAAGACTGTTGGTCCTTGAGTTGGTAAAAGTGGCCGATGCGAATCCAAATTTGTTACTAATCCAGCTGTTGATGCGACGACGCGACGGGCCGTCGGTTCGTTGCCATGTGCTCAAAAGTTGGGATGTCCGCGGGATGCGGAGGGGAAACACGCACAGAGGGCGAACGTTAAAAAGGGGGGCGGGGAGTCGTAACTACCCCGTGCAGATATTTACGGACGCGGTGTGTTTTATTGATTCCTCCGTTCGCTCGCAAAACGACCAACCTGGCGGGGGTGGGTGAGCGTACAGAAGCGCGTGCGTGTGTGTGAGGCAACGTGGGAGCAGTGATGCTGTCAACCAGTGGCCCGCCATGGCCCGGCATGGCCCGGCATGGCCCCTCCGTCACCAGATAGATGCAGGTTAGGTTACACGCATTCTCCCAGGGGGCGACCCTCATATACCGCGCCTCCGGCCTCGGAGCGACCCTTCGGACGCCCTACCCCTTCTCCACTTACCCACCTAGACACGCTCCCCGAACGTCCCCACCCCCTGTTTCCAGGCCCCTCCCCTCCACTCTCACTTTCATCATCAATCCCAGTATCTGTGCCCCTCTCCTCCTCCTAGTCACACACACACACTCACCATAGCCAAATCATGTCAAAGGGGAATATGCAAACGGACTCGCACACAGGCGCGTCACAGCGCGCCGTGGGAATACAGCCCGGCGCGTTATTGGCACGCACGTACACTGCCATTGCCCCAGGTGGCCGCTGTATGTGCAGGACGGATATTTAGCCACCACGTGGCACTTTCAATCCCCGATCGGCCCAATACCGTTAAAAATGTGCCTTGACGCAGCGGGTGTGCAGCGAGAAACCGTGGGAAATACATTTCTCTTGAACGATCAGGGAAACGTCAGTGAAAAACAAAATACTGCCTAACGATTGTAAATTGTTACCGTGCCCGGATTTCCCTCGACGGTTCGTAACTCCAATGTTAAAACTGAACTTCTGCACTCGCGTCATAACTCGCGACCCGAAAGACGTAATGCTAGATGTAAATATGCCACACGTTCAAGCCGCTTAACTCACACAGAGGGTGATCCGAATTGATTGAACTCCCAAGTTCCTACTGATAAATGCCGTGCAGTCATAATACTAAGCTAATTCTCAGTACTTTACGACACAAATCTATCATAATACAGAGAAATTTGTTCGTATTATGAAGAGGTCGGTCATAAGATACTGAGAACTCTTGACCATAGGTTACTTCCTTCGCTGGGCAGCCATAATACTCAGCTTTTAGTTCGTAATACGAAGAAAAAGCTCGGTAGGATATTGGGAGTGTGGTTCTGCCACGATCATTGATCACTGTGATGAAGTATGTGCGAAGTGAGAAGACAAGTGGTTGAGTTGAATAGCACGCGCTTGACGGAACGGTAAATGCTAGTGAAACATCGAGGCGAGGTGCCGAGCAATCACGGACAGTCTCTACCAGGAGGAAGTCACAGACCTCGATTCACGTTAGTACTGCATGGGGATTCTGAACCACCGTCGCTACCGTTGCTTTCGCTCTCACAGGATGGGCGGTACCCCACTCGGCTCCAGTGAGACGGGCCGACTGCGAGGAGTTTGCAATTCCTCTGCTTGCTCCCCGAGGGGGCGTTTATATCGTCTTTTAAGTAGCGCGATGTGAAATGAACGCGAATTGAGGCGCGTAGCCCCTACCTCTGCATGCAAATGCTATGCAGATAGCTGCTTCTGATTCTTTGAGTGTCGGACCGGGCGGCACGTAGGCTGGGCCTTGGCTGTGCCACACCGATTCTGGCAGGTGCCTCTCAGGAACGTGCAGAAGTGGGTGGGGCGAGGCGCGGATGAGTAAAGCTCAGAGGTTAGCCCTCAACACGGCTGAACCATTGCGCGAGCGAAAAACTGAATCAGTGAGGCCAGTAAAAGCGTGTCTCTACAGTAGTCTGACACAGCCATTGTTGCGACACTTACAGAAACAATGGAAAACAAGGAAGTAGAAAATTAACTTGCACAACCACGAAAGAACGATTGAAATGCTGTCAAGACGAATTAAAACAAAACCAAACAAAACATGCCAACGCCATTAGTCAAACGTCCAACGCAAAAAAAAATAAAAAAATTGAAGTTTGGTTCCAAATGGATGAGGTACAGAGACTTGCATGTTGGCTTTCGGTAGTCTGCATAAGCATGTCAACTGATACGGAAAACGTGCACGGAACGTCCGTAGTCGGCGAGACGCGGACGGATCAGGTAAATAATTGACAGTCTTCAGCGTACTTTGACCATTAGAGGCCACAGTTTACCAAAATGACAAATCTTTTGTCACGCTGCACAGTGGGCCAGAAGACTGGTGGAGGCAACCATAGCTCAAGACGCTTGAACTCCAGTCGCTAAATGTGACTTAGACCGTACGTTGACCCCACCAATGGTTTCCTCGTACGAAGAGTAATCCATTGGTGCGGTCACACGTTCGGCTTTAGTCTCAAATAGCGACTCTGGAGCTCAAAACGCGTCTAGAATTTTGGCCGCCTCCACCGGTCTTCTGGCCCACTGTGCGTTGCCTTGTCCCGCGGCCGTACGCACATTGCCACGCTTTGCTTCAGCCCTTTGGTTCGCCCCGCAGCGTGTCACGCCGGGGAGAACATTATGCGGCGGAACCACCTAATGGCATGGAACAGCCCGCTGCGTGCGGCATGTGTGACTAACAATACCTCTGCTACAAATATTATTCCGGACTTTCTTTTCTTTGTACTCTATTCTGAAGTCTTCAGAAAAAATCTTATTCTCAGGGACATGAATGGTTCTTTTTTAGACTTGCTCCTTGCGTCCACACCGCGCAGACTTGGTGTTTGCTTCGGATTAATTAAGCAGCCGGCGGCACCGACTTTTGCGAGGACAGAGGAATAAAAAGGCGAAGAAAAAAGAAACGGGCCAGAAAAATGCACCCTCATCTGCAGTGAGGATTCAGCCCCGCAGGCGCTTGTCTCAGTCAGAACACATGCCACGACATGAGTTCAAAGGCAATGGCTGTGGTAGGATTCTACTAGTCGCGCTAGCGCATTTGTGAGGATCCCTCTGTCGCCAATAAGGAGTCCTAGCACTACGAAGACAACAGAAGGTGTGCAACCTGCAGCAATACCCATCTGGAAAAATACGCCACATGAACTCACATACTAAATCTTGTGGACTTCTAATCCGTAAAGTATTGAGGTTGAAGTGCATGAAAGAGTTATGTATGACATTCGGCATATGCAAGAAACATTGTCCCTGATTTATGCAGATTACACCTGCACATACGTCAATGGACGATTTCAGCACATAAACATAAGTGACCCCGGGTGACCCTTTAAAACCATGTTCTCATACCGGCTGAATGTTAGGTTAGGCTTCGGCGCGAAAGTGTTAAGGCAAATCCCTGTGGAGGGTTGTAGTAGGGATTTCCCCATCTTTCCTCCTAAAAGGCTAAAACCTCCCCTCGCAGATTCCGGGTACGTACCCAAACGGGCGACTTCCTCCAATTAACGCTGCGCGACTTTTCCCGTTTGATTTATTTTCCGCCCCACGCACCACTCGCTGCGCAGTCGTCCGGAAAGCGGCGCGGTCCGCGCCACTGTGTATTTACATGGGCGCGCGATGGAGTGGAGGCAGAACGGCCGGAATATCGATGGCCGGGGCTGGGACGGCTCGGGCCTCGCCTGGCCCCGGCACCGCCTTCCTGGACTGCCCTCGGAATTTTGAGGCAACGAAATACATCGCCGCCCTAATAGCCAAGCAGCCTGTGCGCCCAGCACGCCCAGCAAGCCACGGTCCCTGCGGTCGAATTCGCCACTGCTCGAGTCTCGTCTGCCCAGCGATTCAGATGTTTGTCGCTCTCTCCCACACTCCCGTAATGACGGCCATGAGAGCGACAGAGACGGCGACGAAATGACTCCTGAATCGCGCGTCTACCATCAAGCGCGAGGCGACAGGGGACGACCAGGATGCTGCGCCGCTGCGGCATTTCATGTCGCTCTACCCACAGACGACCCTTTCATGTCAAACGTTCCGTGGCACTGGGACGAAACCGAGTGCGTGGGGGAATGAACAGAACACTTGAAATTGATCTGTGCAGTAAACGGTACACTGAAAATCCAAGTGTGGGACAGGCATGCACTAGATAACGTGGGACAAAATGTCCCACGCTTGTAAGCGTGGGACACGGTTTGTCCCACGCTTGCAAGTGTAGGACACGGATTTGTCCCACGCTTACAAACGTGGGACACCGTTTGTCCCACGCTTGAAAGTGTGGGACACGGATTTGTCCCAAGCTTTAAGTGTGGGACACGGTTTGTCCCACGCTTACAAGCGTGGGAATGAAGGCATGACTTGCTTCGCATTCGTATTCTTTTTCAAAGTGCTCAATTAGACGAAAACTTTCGCTGCATAATACGAGGCATTTCGTCGTAGACTTTCCAGCGCCTTCGTTTTCTTCGTCAAGTGATGCTTCGTTGACTTCTCTCTGTGCGTGCCTGGGGATCTCTGCCTTGGTGGGTGTTTATTAAGCGGAGTTTCGCCACCGCTGTGCGTTGCTTCAGCCTCTTTTGCCCATTCCGCCCGGCATGCCGCCAGGCCACTGCGGAGATTGTTTTCCACTCGAGTTCCCGCGCTTCAGCCAAACCTGCCAAAGTTGATTGAAGAATTCAGGACGCGCCGACGGGGAGGGGAGAGTGGGGAGGGGGGAGGGAGTGGTGACGGCATCCTGATAAACGGAACGG